ATCTTTGCCTCCGTCTTCACACGGCCCTCTCTCCGTGTGTCCTTTCTCCTTCTCTTCCCTTATGGGGACACTTGTCATTGGATTTAGGCCCACCCTAAATCCAGGATGACCTCATGTTGAGATGCTTCACATAATCACATCTGCAAAGACCCGTTTTCCAAATAAGGGCACAGGGCCCGGGGGTTAGGATGTGGACACGTCTTTCTGGGGCCTCCATTCAGCCCACTACCATAGGACTCCGGCAATGTTTGTTGAATGAACGACAATGATCTGTGCAGCCCCCATTACCTCTCACCTCATCTCCCACACGGGCCCCCCACCACTACAGCCCCTCCCTCATCCCCAACCCCAACTCCAGGGACCTGCTTCTTCCCTCCTTCTAGGAGAGACCCACACCTCTTTCATCTCCTTCAGTCCTGCACCCAAACCCCACTTTCTCCGTGAAACCCATCTCCTTAAAAAAGCACCCCAGCATTTCCCTCCATGACCCTGAGCACATGTGAGTTCATCCACATGCACGAATGAATGAGTGAATGAATGAATGATGGATCCACAAGGATGAGCTGAGAGTTTGCAGGGCAGGGGGAGGGGTAGGAAAAAGGGGCTGGGCAGTCCCAGAGCTCCTGGGTCAGGCAGTGTGTGGTGAGGAGGGTTCGGGGCTCACCCCAGGAGAGCTGGGGGTGCTGGCTGTGCCCTGGGCTGCTGGGAGGTCAGGGGAGGTCGTGGGGATCTTGAAAAAAGCAGGGTGTAGGCAGGGGAGTGGGTGAGGAGGCTGTGAGGGGAGGCCCTGGGCAGAGCGAGGTGGGATGGGGGATGCTGGAGAGAGCATGGGTTGGGAGCTGGGAGGCAGACCCTGAGCCTGGTGTCCCTAAGGGCTGGGGAGGGGGCACCGGGCAGGGCTGCGGTGGACCTTTGGGAACAGGTCCTGCATGGGGCTGGTGGGAGACAAGCGCCCACCTGGTCTCAGGTGGTTAGGGCTGGGCAGAGGGCCCCGAGCTGGGCCCGCACCTCACCCCCTGGAAATGTGTCAGAGCAGCTCACTTCAGGGGGGCCACGACTGCTAGGGCCTGGGCCCTCTGCCCCCAGCCTCACTTCTGTCAGGTTCCTGGCTGCCGCAAGACGGGCACAGTGCCCTCCACCCATCTGTCTCTTCCTCACCCTCCCAGCACTCCTCATCCTTGCTGGCTGACCCCACCTCCTTCAAGCAGCCCCCCAGTCTCCCTGCTTGGAATAGTTCTCAGTGAGCATGGGCAGTGTGGCCACTTGTGTGGACACGCCTCCCGCCCCCAGAGGACTGGCTCTGAGACAGTCACGGCCCAAGCCAGGCCAGCGAGAAATACTAAAGATGGAAAGAATGCGTGGATTTTGGGTATAAGGCCTTCCCCCCAACCCTGAGAGTGGCTTCAGCACTGTGGGGTCCCCATGGAGTGCACAGCCCCTGCTTCCTCAGGCCCTCCACCCTTGCCCCTCCCCGTACTGGGTACCCCTGCTGACCGAGGGCTTGTGGCGGGGGGAGAAGGCCAGGACAGGCCTCAAGCATCTTGCATGGCAGCCTTAGCCACCTTCTGATGAGCTCGGGGACCCTAAAAGTCAGAGGCCAGAGCAGTCGGGTGGGTGCTTTGGGGCTCAGCAGGAGAGGGGGGCTTCCAGCAATGTCTGCTGCGGCCTCAGCCTTGGGGGATGGGAGATGGTGTCTGGGCGTGCAAGGTGGGCACGCAGGTAAGCAGGCCCCAGTGTGCACGGCCCTCAGTCCCCATCTCCAGCAACAGCTACAGTTTCCACAGCCTTTCAGAATCTGGGACGCCGAGCCCCCCGAGGCCGGGAGAGTTCCCTGGGGTTAGCAGCGAGGGCGTTTTACTTCTCATCAGCAGACTCCTACAAAAGCCCCCCACGGGGCCCCTCCCGCCCCACGGCGCCCTGTCTTTGTGGATGTGGTGCCTGAGATTGTCCCAGGGTCCCTGACTCCACGCAAGTGGCCATCGTCAGGGCTGAGAGCGTGGAGGTACGTGGACTCTTCTCATTTCATTATGTGTGCTGTGAGGGGCAGAGGGGGCATCCACACCCCCAGGGTCTTCCCTCCCTGCCCTCCCACCTGCCCTGCCCCTTCCCCAGGCTTCAGCCGTTCCCTCCCTCCCTCCTTCGACCCAGCACCCAAGTAAAAGGGCAGAAGACTCAGAACAAAATAAATTTGAATGCTTTATTGGGATTGCGAGCATTAAAAGTTAAAGACAAAACCCAAGCAATGGATTTTGCCAGAAATACCAGCATGTTAAAGGGGTAGAGTTGGGGCGAACACGGGCCGCTGCAAGATGGTCTGGGACAGCAGGCAAGGTGACATTCGGTGTTCAGCGCGTGGGGGGTCTTCAGGTGATGGCACAGGGAGGGACCCAAGAGGGGGTCCCGCTGAAGACAGTTTGTGGGGGGGGGACTCGGGGAAGAGACAAGATGGACAGCCACAATCAAGGGCTCAGGAGGTCAGATGGGGGCCTGGGTCAGGATGGTTGATGACCCGCACAGAACTGCTCACTGGGGGCACAGAGGAGCGTCGGCGGATGCCCCCGGAGTACCCATCCCGAGCGAGGCAGAATGTAACACTGAGTGGGATGGGCATCCGGCCGAATGGGCAGACACTTTGGGATGCCTCGAAGTCTTTTTGGATCTCAGGCCAATCTGTGGTTCGCCAATTATGACAATTTGACTCTTTGAGCTTCTGTCCAATGTTCCGAATGGCCCATTCTCCGGGCACTCGCCGAAGGACCCTCTGTGCCACGGGTGGACTGGCATGGACCGCCCCCTGGGTCATGCCAGCCCCGTTGCCAGGGCCCACAAGCCTTGGGCCTCTAGACTGCTAGTCGGGCTGCCGTGCAGGGGGGCTGCGCTGGGGGCAGAAGTGGGGGTGAGGTAAACCTCCCAGCCGCCCGGGTCCCTGCCGCAGCCCTAGGCACCAAGATGTGGCTGGGTTGGTATCGCCAGACCCACTGGCCTGGGGGCCCAAGCAATCCCAGTAGATGGACCAACATGCAGCTTTTTGGCTCTGGGCAGCCCACACCCTTCTGACCTCCCCTACTCCCCGACCTCACCCCGCCTGGCCCCCAGGAGGCCCCTCAGAGCTCCAAGCCTCCTGGGGACAAGACGGGGTGCTGAGGAGGCGGGCAAGATGTCACCGAGTGGTGGGGGAGGGCTCCCCAAGTGCGCGGAAGGCGGCCACCTGCTCCAGCCTGATGAAACCCCTCTACGCACATCTGCATTCCCTTCCCCCCCAGCCGGCCTCGGGCCAGCCGGGGGCCCCATCCTGATGGCCACCGAGCACCTTCCTGACACCTGGGGAGTTGCCACCCCACCCCTCCTCCGCCCCTCAGGACCTCCGAGGACCAGCCACCGTCCTCAGAAGCCAGGCCGGGTAGCGGCCGTCTCCATTCCCCTCTGACTTCTCTGTGGGGCGCAGTGGCCGGCATCCCCACAGAGGCTCCACTCCCAACTCAACCCAAGCGACAGGGACAGAAATAAAAACCAAAATCAAATTGAGGGCGATAAATGGCAGAGAGCAGGTTGCACGGGGCCCACCGCAAGGGTGGCAGATGGTTGTTGCGTGCGTCGTCGCTGCTCCCCGTTGTGGGGTGGGAGTTGATTAATTTGTGTGAGCGCATGAAAAGCGAAGGAGGGATCAAAAAAAAAAAAAAAAACAAAACAAAAAAGGAAAAATAGCCCCAGGAGAAGCCAATTAAAGGGGGGTAATAGATCAATTGACATCAATTTGGGTTCCTAATTTCGATCCGTAATTCTGCAAGTTTCTCTCCTCTTGACTCTTCTAACACCTCACTGGATCCGTTCCCCAGAGTGGCCCCCCACCCAGCCCCCACTGCCCCCCACCCGCCCCTCCAACCGCCAGACTTCCCACTCTCCTCATCATCTCTGCCAGCCTCCTGGGGGCCTCCATTTCGGAGAGGCCCCCAGGAGGCTGGCAGAGATGCTCCCTGGGTGTGCCTGGGGGTCCCGGATCTTTCTTAAAGAGCACACCCAGGGCGTCAGGCTTTCTGGGAGGGCACGTCTTGCTCAGCTGCAGTCATCTCCAGTCTGGCCAAACCTGTTCCTAGCTCCACACGATGACAATAGGCTGCCCTGACGTTGGTGGGGTCTGGGGGCATCGGGCTCAACCGCGGGGGACCGTGGGGACAGGCGCCGAGAAGGAGTGGGCACCTCTCTCATCTCGGAAAGATGGAACCACCTGCCTAGGCCTGGGACGCACTCCTCCCACTCTAGGGCGCATCCCAGGGAATGGGAGGGGAGCACAGAACATGAAAACCTCACGCGGAACAGCTGACAGAATTTAGGATGGAACACAGTCTGATCTCAGGGAGTTTAGTTTCTCTTATTGTCATCCATCTGTGTGTGTGTGTGTGTGTGTTTGTGCGTGTAGGGATGTGTGTGTGGGTAGGGATGTGTGTGTGTGTGGGTAGGGATGTGTGTGTGTGTGTAGGGATGTGTGTGTGTGTGGGTGTGGGTGTGTGTGTAGGGATGTGTGTGTAGGGATGTGTGTGGGTGTGGGTGTGGGTGTGTGTGTGTAGGGATGTGTGTGTGTGTTGGGATGTGTGTGTGGGTGTGTGTTGTGTAGGGATGTGTGTGTGGGGGTGTGGGTGTGTGTTGTGTAGGGGTGTGTGTGTAGGGATGTGTGTGTGTGTGTGTGTGTGTGCTTTTTAGGGTGTGAGTTGAGATGTAAGATTTTGGAGTGTGTGGGTCTTTGGAGGATGGATGTTAGGGTGTGCGGGGGTTTGTGCCAATTAAATTTTATTTGCACGAATTTTGGTTTTCATGTTCCGTAGTCCCCTCCTTTGGTCTCATTGGGTCCCTCTAACTCGCTCTAGGGTGATTTTTGGTGACAAGAAATAGAGCGAAGAACAGGTTTGGGTCTCTGCTGTTACCATGGCCAATTATAGGTGCCCAATTGAGAGTTTTGCACGAGAAAGGAGATGACCGAGAAACAAGACATGCCTTCCTGTTGATTTTGGGGTCCCTTCCCTTCTCTTGGATGGTGGGGACTCGAGCCACGGCCAATTTGACTCGAGGTCGGAAAGGGAAGAGAAGGAAGGGGGGGGGGCGCCGAATTCTTTTATTTTGCCAATTGTTTTTAGTATTTTTTCAGCCAATTGATTTTTTTTTTAGTTTTTTTTTTAAGCCAATTAGTTTTAAGGGGGCTGGAGTGTGTGTGATTTGGGGGGGGTTCATGGTTCCAATTCTTTGTTGTGTAATTTGGGGGTAATTTGGGGGGATAATTTGGGGGGAGGGATATTTAAAGCCAATTGGTTTGGTTTTTTTTTTTTTTTTTTTTTTTTTTTGATGATGTTACTATGATTCCTTCAGCCCGATGGACGGGGCCGAAGTGCCTGACATGAGGAGGTTGGGGCAAGGGGGCTGGGGGGGGAGGCCCGCCCTGGGGGACGGTACAGAGAGATTTCAGAGGTGGACCCGGTGGAAGGGGCCCTGGTCAAGAGGAGGGCACAAGGTGGAAAGTGCCATTTTGCAGAAATACGACAATTTGGCTCACTGCAGATCGCTGGACACCTCGACAAAGGCGGCCCCGTGGGGAGTGGGGTCCTCGGTGGGCAGGGCGATCAGGGGACGGTGACGTTGGGCCTCCCTGAACGCTTCGAGCTCCTTGACGAGCATGCGACCCCGGCGGGTACGCAGGAGGGCAGGCAGGCCCCTGCGCAGGCGCTGGGTGGATTGCTTCCAGGCGTTGTACTGGAAGAGCTTGACCACGGGGTATCTGGGGGAGTCGTCCTGAGAGGGGAAGGGCCAGTCAGGGCGTGCCCAGCTCCCCAGCTCCTGCTCCCCTGCTGCATGGCCCTCTCCCTAAACCTTTCACAGCCTCTGCCCAACGTCCACAGTCGGGGCACGCGGCCAACCTGTCAATCACCCTACGGCTGCACCCTGGTCCCCTGGCTCAGACGTGACAGCCCCGAGGGGCGAGACCTCAGTTTCCCTGGCAGTGGCTGCCCCGCTGGGCCCAGAGGTGGGGCCGAGTCTTACCGGAAGCACGGTCGGAGGGGTCGACACGTCCCTCTCGGACTTGGCGGGGGTGGCACAGTAGGTCTCCAGGAGGGCCAGGTCGCAGCTGCGGAAACAGCACTCTTCCACGATGCCACGGCTGCGGCGGTTGATGCGGCTTGCGGGCCTGCCTGGAAGTCCCACAGGAGGAAGCAAGAGTGGCCGTCAGCACCGGGCAGGCCCCAGAGAGGGCAGAAGGCCACCCTGCCCTCAGGCAGGCCCCACGGGACACTGGGGCACCCCACAGGGACAGCCAGCCGTGGGGTGAGGAGCGCAGGAGGGAAGCAAGAGCCGGGCAGGCAGGGGTGGTCCAGGAAGGACAGAAGTGACAATGGGGGTGAGCATGCTCCGGGACAGCCCCCTGGCCTCCTGGTGCCTCTCTCCTCGGATCTAAAATGGGCACGGCCACCCGGTCCCACGCAGCCCAGCGAGGGGTCCGGCCCCCATGTTACAGGACCATAGGGTCCTGCCCTGAAGGCCGGTCAGGGACACAAGTGCTGTCCCTGAACTAACCACAGTCCTAGAGCCGCCGAGACAGGCAGGAATGGGAGGAAGAAGAAGAAGACGGGAGGAGAGGAGTGAGGAGCTGCATAAAACCACGCCCTCCTCCCCTCCCGTCCTCCCCCGCTCCCCCACCACAGGCTCCAAGGCTCAGCTGCAGGGTCCCTCCCGGGCTTCACCTGGGGGCCGAGGGCACGCGCCTGGACGGGCGGGGAGAGGAGCCCCTGGTAAGGGGTTCCCTCACGGGGTCCCACAGTGGGGGTCCGGCCCAGCCCTGCTCTCAGGGAAGGGTCGGCACCACACCCTACAGGGCCACTTCCTGCCCCCAAACGAGGCAGGCGAGAGAGGGGGCACAGGCGAGGCCAGGGCAGGCGGGGCTGCGGAAGCGTCGAGAAGCAGGGATGCTTTTCCAAGAGCTCTGCAATGCCAAGACTGGCGCCTGCAGGCCATTTCACAGGGTGGGCAAGTAAAGGCTGCAAAGGAGGATGCCACGTGGGGAGTGCGGGGCCATGTGCGACCTTCATGGTCCTCACTGTCTTGCCCCAGCCACATCCTACAGATAGGGAAACTGAGGCCCAGCTTGCTGGGAGGTAGGGCAAGGGCCTGTGCCCCTGAAGGAGAATTCACCTCCCACTGGGGGTCCCGCCCTGTGACACAAGGCACAGGGGCGGGGGGCCCACAGGGGTCTCAGGAAAAATCTGACAGTGCGCTCAGCCGGCCAGCTCAGGGTGGAAATAAGACAAGCGTGAGGACCAGCCAAAGCACGCTGGGGCCAGCACCCCACACGGTGGCCCACCCCCCCCATGGGCAGACCCCACCCAGCCATGGGGCCCACAACTCCCCCGGCAGTGGCACTGCGATGATAGAGCTCGTCTCTTCTCCTGTGCCCCCAGGGGCACGTGGGGTGGGCACACTCGCACCCACCAGCGACATTGACCTTTATTTTTATTGGTTTTCAATCCGTTTTACCCAACTTTAAATCCTATAATCCACGGTCAAGACATCAGGACCACCGAAATGCGTGGTAAGCTTCCGTGCCTGCAGCCCTGCCTGCAGGCAGTGCAGGGAGTGCAGAGAGGACACTGGCTGCCTCTGCTAGGGGCCTGGGTCACCTTGTCTGGAAGCCATGCCTCCTCCCACCCTGCACCCCACCAGTGCCTGCTACGGTCTGGCCTGCCCCCCGCCCACTGCCCCCCCCACCAGAGATACCACCTCTCCTAGGAGGCAAGCGTTCTCCCTCCCACTCTGAGTCACGTTGCACGAAAGTCAGGGGTGCCAGCACGGCCCAGGTACAGGGCAGGCGCCCCCAGGAACGTGGCTGCAGGTCCCGGCTGCACTCTCCAGGGCTCACGGGCAAGAGCCCACGGTCCTTCACCTTGGAGCATCCTGCCTCCCCCACCCCACGGCCCCCACGCCAGGTGTCCTGGAGGCTCTGCATAGGTGTCTGAGGAAGGAGGCGGAGGCCCCCACTATTTATTGAACACCTGCTGTGTTCCCCCTCCCCGCCCAGCCCCGCCCCGAGCTACTTACTGAAGTAAAAGCCGCGGTCCCCACAGACAAACTGGAGGGTATCCACCAGCTCCCCGCCACACAGAGTCTCACTGGGGCGGTAAGCAGCAATGCAGCACGAGGCAAAAGCCAAGAAAGTGAACAGCATCAGCAGCGACTTCCCCACCGGGATCCCCATTGGTATCTGCTGGGGGGAGAGAGAGAGGAGGCTGTGAGCCCCGCCCATCCCGCCCTGCCCCCGCAGGCCAAGTCCTGGTCCAGAGGCCCCTCTCGCTGCCCACCCAGCCAGGGTGTCCCCCAGACGCCAGCCCAGCAAAAGGGACGAGGACCAGCTCTCTTTGGAGACACTCAGCCCAGCCATCTCCCGGTTTAAAGTTTTAAGTTGTAGTTTTCAAGCACGGCTTTCTCCTTAAAGGCATCATTTGAACTACAAAAATGACACACGCTTTCACAGCCAAGGTGGGGCGCAGGGTCGCCCGTCTGAGAAGGAAGGGATGTGTGTGAAACCCGACTTTGGCACCAAGTGCAGGGCAGGAATTTCATGTGGTGGTGGGGGGGGGGGGACTGGCCCCACCATCAGTATTTCAGGGGCTCAGCCACACCCAGAGCTGCAGGGGCCGGTGCTGGACACTGGACCTGGCCTCCGTCCTATGATGTCATGAGGCGGGGCCAGCACAGGGCAGTGGCCACTCCTCGGGTCTCCCAGCGCCAGCCAAGATGGTAGACAGCCCCACCCCACCACAGAGCATGTGCATCCCTGAGGACCAGCTGAGCAGGGGGGTCCAGGAGGACCAGCCCCCCTCCCAAAGCAGTAGGAGGGTCCTGCTGGGCCAGTCCCACCCACTCCCGCTCCCCCACTGCCTTTTCCATGCTCCCAGTCTGTGGCTAAGCAAAGCTCAGGTCAAGGATCCAATGGTCAGTGCGGCAATGCCAGCCACGCTCCCAAGGGCCTTGTTCTCCTCAATTACCCAGTCCCCCAACCCCAGTCTGCCCTGGGCACCCCAAAACAAGCCTCCTTTCCAGGCCTTGCATCACACCATCCAGGGCCAGGGACCTCAAAGTCCCTCTGGGACCATCAGCCCCTGTCCCCGTTTGGAGTACCAATCCCACCTTGGGAGTTGGAGAGCACAGGTCAGGCCATCTGGAGGCCGGACACCAGACCCCATAGAGTCCAGAGCCCAATTTGGAAAGACGGGCACATCTCAGGACACACCCCCTGCACAGGCTGTGTGGCTGCAGGCCCGGGGCAGAGTTGACCAGGTCTCTTAAGAGCTGAGGGGCTTGGAAGAAGCCTCAACTTCTCTTTAGATATAGCCCCTGCCTCCTCCAGAGGGCAGAGGCCCCCAAGGCGGGCAGCCCCAGCCCGCCAGGCACACGCTCCTCCTGGGGGGACCGTCACGGCCCAGTGCCTCTGAGCCCATTGGCACCCTGATGCTACCCGAGCAAGGGGCTGGGCAGGCTGCCCAGATGCGTCCCTCCCAGGCTCTGCACCTGGTGGGCACGGGGGCACCAAGCAGCATGCCGCTTCCCAGCCTAGACCAAGGCTGCCGCCTGCTTGGCCCAGGGTATTTTTGATGCAAGAATTCGTGCAGGAGACAAGGACCGATGAGAAGGAAGCACAACCTTGCTTTAGCTCACTAAAGAGCAGGGCCAGCTCCTCAAGAGAATCTAAAGGGCCACCTCGCTCGCTCACCTCCTCCTGCCCTGCACTGGACCCCAGCCACCTCCCTGCTGCCCCCACTGCCACCCACTTCCAATTCTAAGAACAAATCTGGCCAGCTAGCCGCTCGGCGCCGTGCAAGCGGCAGCTCCATCGTTCTGCAAGCCCGGCCACTCCAGTGCGGGGTCCAGTCCAGAGCACCAGCAGAGAGCAGAAGACTGGACGACAGGCACGCAGAGGTGCGGGGCAGGTGACCCAGCCTGCCAAGGAGGGAGGGCAGGGGAGAGGAAGGCAGGGGCAGGGAGGAGAGGGGCCGAGGAGCTGAGGTCAGAAGCGACTGCAGCTGGGCAGGCTGGAGCAGGAGGGCAGGGGGTCCTCGCTCAACAGCCCAGGTTACCTGCAGCTGGACAGGCGTCTCGCTGTGGCTGGAGGAGAAAGCTGGGAAGTTGCCTCACGGGAGAAGCTAATGTCCAGTTTGCAGCCTGGTCAGTGCCTCCGCTTTTATGTCAGAGCCGGCTCCGCCCATCCCCGGCTCCACCCTAACCCCCACCCCTCTCCCCACTGACCACTCCCCCCGCCCCCTTTGCCCCCGCCCCCTCCCTCCTTCCAGCCAGTCTCTTCTCTCCTGCACCCCCAAGCGCTAAGCCTGGACCATCCCTTAACAAAGTATCACGAGGGGGGCTCATCCTGCACCCCCAGCCCATCGCGACACATGGCCTTGAGGGGGAGGACGCGGGGGGGGGGGCTGCTTTCCAGCTCCCTGTATGGACGCTTCAATCTGCCCACTGGGCAGGGGCGGTTGTTCTCTCTGGGCTGCACGCTCGTGCCCTTCTGAGCCGCGGACCAGCCCCTCTCCCCAGACTCCTAGTTGGGAATGTTGGGGACGGGAAACGGGGCCTTGGGTGGGGGGGTGCATTGCAAATGTGGCGTCTGGCACGACTCTCTTGCCAACTGGGCCCCCCTCGCTCCATCCTGGCCCCGCCCACCCAGTTTTCCTCTCCCAGTCTTGCTGGCGCGGAGTCAACATACCAGGGTGGGTTTCCGAGAGTAGCTGCCCTTCTCATTACCCATCTCCCGGGTGGGGGGGTGGGGGGAACAGCCGCCACCCCTTCCCCGCACGGCACAAATCGCAAACTCTCAGCAACACCCCCCTGCACCCACAAACCGACCAGGAAGTCGCCTTTACAGACAGCTCGCACCTCCCTCGGCATTTCCGAAGCCCCCACCCGCCCTCCGTGGCGCAGGGGAGACCGCGGGGTTCGCCAGGGGGAGCCGGACCCACAGCCCCTCGTCTCCCTCCGCCCGGCCCAGCGCGGCCGCCCCCGCCGCCGCCCGCACGCAGCTTACCTGGAAGCCGGCGCGGCTGCCGCGCACCTCCCTGCTGCGTATCGCAAACCGAACAGCGGGCGTTGGCCCTCCTGCCGGACACTCCTCTGCCAGCGCCGCTCTGGCCGGGTCGCCGGGGCCGAATGTGCGACGGGGCAGAACGGGGGGATGGCTTTTTTTGGGGGGGAATCGCATCTGATTGTTTGGGGAGGACGGGCTGTCTGCGGGCTGGGGCGGGCCAGATGTTGTACTTTTAGGGGGGGAAAGGGTATCGGGAAATGAGGTCAGCTGTTGTGTCAAGGATAGAGGGGGGCAGAGATAGTGAGAGAGACAGAGTGAACGTGAAAAGGGGGGGGCCAAAGAGAGGGCGAGAGGGAGAGAGGACAGCGAGAGGCGGGCAGGCTCACAGCGGGAGAGAACAGCGAAGAGAGAAACAGAAAGCGTATAATTAATCCACTTTGGGACGGCGAAGGCGAGAGGGCGGGCGTGGAGGGGGAGGGAGTCTGAGGCAAGGAGCTGGGGGGGGGCGGGAGGGAGCAAAGGGTAGGCTGCGGAAGAAAGAGTGGGGGCCGGGACTAGAGGCCGGAGAGGGGAGAGGGGCGCAAAGAGAAGCGAGGAAAGGGCGCAACGTCGGGGGCCGAGGAAGGTGTTGAGGGGGGCGGAGTGGAGGCGTCACCCGGGCCGCGGGCGCCCAGCTCGGTTTGGGCCGACGGGACCCTCGGCCGTCGCGAGCCCGGGCCTCGGGGGGGGCAGCGGTGGCGTCGCCCGGCCGCTCGGGATGCAGCGAGGAGTGGAGCGGCCAGGCCGAGCGCCGCCGGGGAGGGCCGGGAGAAAGCGCGGGGGATGACAACGCCGGCGGCCTGCGAGCCGGACTGCCTGCGGGGGGAACCGCCTCCTCGGGCGAAGCGGGACGGGCGTTGAGGTAGATAGACGAGGAGGCGGCGGGGAATCCGCAGGCCGGCGGAGCGCGACCCCGCCGACGGCGCCCGAGACGGGGAGTCAGCAGCTTGGCGGACGGCGTCGACGCGGGGCCGCCAGCCCGGTGGAGGCGCTGGTGGGCCGAGTGCGGGCGGGCGTGGGCCAAGAGGCGGGAGCGGCCGGAAGGGGGGGCCGGGGGCCTGCCTGGCCTCACGCAGCTCCGCCGGAGAGCAGGCGATCTGCGGGCGCCAACGCCCGGCTCTTATAGCCCAGCCACCCCGCGGCGCGGCGCCCGCTCGGGCCCCCCTGGCCATGCGCCCGCGCCAATGGGCGCCCGCGGGGCCCTCGCTCCGCCCCCGGACCGCCCCCGCAACTCGAGCCGAAGCGGGGGCGCAGGCTTGGGGGCCCCGGGGGGCGGCTGTCAGGGAGGGGCCGTGGGGTGCGCGGGGGCGAGTTTGGATTGGGGGCAGGGAACGGCGGAATGCGAAAAAAATCCCAAATAGCTTTTCTAAAGTGTTTGGGGGCCCCTCTTGGGTTCCGGGGTGCCAGGGATCCCTGTGCCCGTGCGCGGGGGCGCGGGGCGACCTGGGTGGGCAGCGTCCCAGACCCTAGGGGTGGCAGGGGTCCCCGCTTCCCGCCATCGGGCTAAGCGGCGGGGGTGCCCCGTCGGAGTGAGGGCGCAGGTGGCTCGGCGCGCTGGGTCGAGGGTTCGTTCCCTAGTCCCACTGGGAGCTGCAGGGGAGTGGGAAGTCGCTGGGCGCGGGCAGGTCGTGCAGCCGCCACCTGCCCGAGCAGGCATAGCGCCTCGAGCGGCAGCCGGAGCCCGAGCGCCCCCCGGTGCCGCGCGGCAGGCGAGGAGTAGCCGCCGCGGCCGCCAGGTGTGATATGTGGGGAGGACCGGCCGGGCCAGGCCCGAATCTGGGCCAGGCACGGGGCCTGCCTAGGCGGCGCCTGCCGGGGGAGAGAGGAGCAGGGCGGGAAACATCGCTCAAATCCTACCTGCATGACAAAGCTCACCAGGGTGCGTCTAAGCAGTTCGCCCTTGGGGCCCACCCAAAATATCCGGCTAATGGTTCCACCGTCCTCAGTGCGTTGGACTTGCGTAGACTCGGGTTCAGCCCCGGGGGCCACCACAATAATTTGGGGGTCTGGGGAGACCATCTCCTGGAGAGTTTGGACGATGTAAGAAGTGATTTTTACCAAGTCAAAACCAAGCACGAACCCCTGCGCCCCGCCCTTCCCACGGAACCTCTCCAAGGGGAAGGGGCCGCCGCCGGCGGAAGCCGGCGCCCAGCTCGCCCCCTCGTTCCGCCATCAATCACTGCGCCCGCGCTCCACGCGCGCCTCCCCGAGTCCTCTGCCCGGCGGGCTGGTGGCGCCGCGCTGCGCTGCGCGGCCCGAACGGGGCGCGCCTCTCCTCGGCCTCTCCCTCCGACCCAGCGCCCTGCCCGCCCCGCTTCGGGGCCGCCGGAGCGCTTTACCCACGATTGTGATCTTGCAAAGAGCTAACGAAAGCGGCGCCGGTTTCGGGGCGCCCGGCCCCAGCGAGCGCGGCCGCCGAGCGGCCAGCCCTCAGCGGGCTCCTGTGTCCCGCGCCGGTCGCCCCGGCGCCCGCCCGAGGCGAGCGCCAGCCCCGGCGGGACGGCGGCGGGTGCAGGCGGGGACCCGGGCCGGGACCGCGGAGCTGCGGGGAGCTCACCGCGAGGCTGGAGGCTGGGAGGCTGCGTCTGCGGGCGCGCCAGGAGCCGAAGCAGCGAGCGAGCGCTCTGCAGAGGGTGGTGGACGCTGCTGAAGGTGAGCAAGACCCCGGGGGCAGTCCCCAATGTCCCGGGGCAACGCCCAGTCCGTTAGAAGACCCAGGGACAATGCCCAAATTTGGGGGAAACTGGGGGCAATGCCCAGTCGTTTTCCTAGACTCGAGAGAAGACTGCCCACGTCCTGGCGGACGCACTGCCGAACCAAGTGTGTTTGGGGAGTACAGAGATAAATTTCCCAAATCTGAGGAGCTCGGGGGACTCCGTAGGAAACTCGGAGAGGCCCGAAACTAGTGGTGCTGTGCGCGGGGTTGGGGCCGGGAACGACGCGCAGATACCGGGGGACGCAAGTCAGAGCTCCGTGCGATTTGCGGGCCGAGAAAATGAGCGTGCCGAAGTCGGGCGCCCAGGAGAGGCTCCGCTGATGCGGGGAACTGTGCTTACTGACTAAATTCGAGATTCCAGAAAGAGAGTCCACGTCTGGAGCATCAGGGGAAATTGCTCCGTGCAACTGGGGGACAAAAGATCCGAGTCTAAAAAGTGGGGAACCCAGCATATTGGTCAGCAAGCCTGGGAGGAACCCCAGACCAACTTGTGGGGGAGGTGGGTTTGGGGGTGAGTCAAGGAAAATTCTCAACATGAAACTTGGGGGGACCCAAGAGGCATGTTGTCTAAAATTGGGGAAAAAAACAACAGACACATTTTGGGGATCTAGGCAAATTCTCCAGGGCGGTGGGGGAAAGTAGACATTGATTTTCACGATTTAGAAATCCAGGAGTGGGTGGATGCTTGCCCCCAGGAAAGTGACCTCCACATTGTCATGACTTCAGCAAAAGTTCTCTGTCCTTGAGAGGGTCAAAAAACACGTCTAAGTTTGGGGGAACCTGAGGTGTGTTCAATACATTCCGGGAATGCAGAAAATCAATGTCCTTTTTAATTTTAATTTTCTATTGATTTCCGTTAGTTTGTTTTTGGTGAACAGGAAAAAAATATCCTGTTTTTCTGGGCACTGTTTGCATTTGGGGAACTCTAGCAAAGCATGACCCACGTTTTAGGGATCCATGAAAATGTTCAATAGAGATGGATATCTAAATTTCAAGAACCCTGGTTAGGATTGAGGAAGCTTCTAGAACACAGGCCTATGATGCCCAGGAGTTCTAGGACCCCGGGATATTTTTTGGTCCCTGGACATTTTAATTTTGGGGGGCCCAGGGAAAATTGCCTAAATTTAGAGGCACTCTGGGCAAGGGTCGTAAATTCAGGCAACACATAAATCAGTGTCCAAAAAAAGCTCAATTGTTTTGTGGAAGAAAAAAAAAAAATCTCAGTTTGTTTTGAAGGGCTGGAAGACAGCCTGTCAATTTGGAGACCCCAGGAAAATAATTTTTGAATCTGGGGATCCAGAGAAGGTGCTCAGAGTCCTCAGGAGAACTGGGGGGTCAATAGCTAAGTTTTAGGGGAAAAAAGATTAATAAGAGTTCCTAGATTGTGGGGCCTGGAGAATCGATGTCCAAAATTTGTGATCTGCAGGGCGCGTGCAGGGTGCGGGAGACCCAGGAAACGTTGCTGAAATTTGGAGTCACTCAGTGGGTGCGTGGGACCCTTTGGAACATGGGAAATCAGTGCCTTTCTGTGATAGGGGGGTAATACTGAATGTGTTTGAGGGGCCTGCAGGACTATGCCTAATATTTGAGAGAGCCCCGCATGTCCAAATCACAGAGGATCAGGCATAGAGTCCAGTGTCCTCCTGGGACTTGGGAGCAGTGTCCGAATTTTAGAAAACAGATTCTTGTCAGTAAGCCAGTGGGACCCAGAGAATTTTTTAATGTTCAAAATGTTATAATGCAGAGAAAATGTTTCGGATGTTTGCGGACTGGGGACAGTCCACAGAGCCTGGGATCACAAGCTGTAGGCTCTGAGCAAGGGTTTGTTTCGTGCGTGGTGTGACCCAGGGGGACCTGTGAGACCCTGTGTGGTTTGGGGGACCCTGCAGAAGCCCGGGCCACAATGGAGCGCATCTCAGGGTATTGCTCAGTGTGCCTTCGGGGGCCTGGGTAACTGTCAAAACGTTAAGGAACCTGATTAGTGCCCGGGGAGCTTGGAGAGCCCCAGAAATGCGTGCCCCAAGTCTTCATGGTCCACAAAAAAAAAAAAAATTGCTTAGTGAGTTCTGGGCATCAGGAGTCATCCTCTGAATTTTGTGGAACTCAGGAAATCAGAGCGCACATTGTTAGTGATCCGGAAAAGGGTTTGGTGCGCTTTGGGTGTAAAGTCTGAATTTTGGTGGAGGCACAGGAAGCAGCCCCCAGACTCTGAGGGTTCGGGGCGGAGGGGGGGAATTCCTTAGTGTGTTGGGGGAACCTGGGATTCTTTGCGTAAAATTTCGGGAACCCAGGTTAGAAGCTAATAAACACGTGGAACTCAGCGGATAATGTCACCAATTGTGGTGTATCAGGGAACAGGGCTGCAGTGCGGAGGACCCAGAGCAGGGACAGTAAGCTTGGGAGACCCTGTAGTTAATGTGCAAAATTATGGGGATATAATCGTTTACGTGCACTTGTTTGGGGAACAATGCCTTAAGTGCCAGAAAAACACTGCCCACATTTGGGGAGCCAGGCAAACTGGTCAGCGTGACCCGGACCCGGGGCTCGTGTTTAAATTTTAGGGGATCCCGGTTGGCAGTGAGTAAAGGTGTTAGAACCTGGAGAGGGATATGTAAAACTCTTAAGAGCCTGGAGAAAACGCTCGCTGAGTTTGGGGACCCAGACCACTAGTGGAAATCTGAGGGAGCCGGTGGCGGCTTGATGTGTTTGGAGGTCCCCGGAAATTAACGTCCAAGAAAACTCTCATGACCTGGAGAAACGCTGAATATATTTGGAGGACCTGAGAGCAAGGCTTAAATTGGAAGGATCCCAGAAAAAATAATGTCCGCATTTGTGGGGAGCAGCGAAGTGTCTCCGTGGGTTGGGACCCTGGAGATGGAGGGCTACGTTGAGAGGCCAAACTCCCCGGGCGGACCAGGGAAGCAACGCGCCGCTGGAGATCCACTGCGTCTGGGGACTCGAGCGGTGCAGTGGCGCCCTCCCCGGGGGACCCGAGCGCGGGCCGCGCGGCGGCGGCGGCTCCGGGGCGAGGGCGCGGGCAGGTAGCGCGGGGCTCCCTGGGGCGCGCGCCCCGGCGGAATGGAATATCTTTCTCTTGCCTTCTCGCCACCGAGGGCGCTTCTCTGGCGGAAGCCCGGGCGAGCGGGCGTCGGGGTGGAAGGGAGAAACCCGAGAGCAGCGAGGGAGCCACAGGGCGCTGCTCACCGGGCGCTCCTCGGGCTCCCGGGTCCCCGCTCGGCCGCCTCCGAGGAGGCCCGCGGGCTCCCCGCCGCCGCCGCGCCCCACGCGCTCCCGCGCTGCGAGCCTAGGCGAAGCCGCGACCGGGCCGCCGCCGCGGGCAGGCTCGTCCCCGGCTCGGCTGGGGGGCCCCGGGAGCACCCCCGGC